CCCCAAAACCCCAAAACCCCAAAACCCCAAAACCCCAAAACCCCAAAACCCCATCTTAAGCCCCATTGTTGGAAAACTATTATTTTGAAATTTAATAATGATCCGAATTAAAGTGAAAGTAATATCAGCGAGTTTTCAAAATAATATATGACCTAACAGAGGTTTTTTATTCATTCATAATACTCAGCGAATTTTGGCTTAAAGATGCAGCGAAGAGAAAACTGGCGTAGTGAAAACCTAGAGCCTAGCAATAGCAGAAGTTCGAAATGACACCTGACTTGGCCACAACCCAGGTCAAACAGATATGAGAATATGGCTCTTCTTTCCTATTTACCATTGGTAAAGGAGTGGTTTTACTAGAGTTATGAACCCAAAATTAGCCCAAAATAGTGAAGCATTTGTATGGAAGAAGGAGATCTATCAAGGGGAACCCTCTAAGCTTCTTTGATAAGCTGATGTAGAAAGGAAAATAAGAGTAAATGTAGCTTTAGAAGTTGGGATCAAGACTATTATGTTCTGCCTGCACTGAAACTGTAGTTCCAGGAGAATGATGACTGTCCAGGGTCTAGGATTGATGTTGAGAGATATACAAGACCTCTTGGTGGCACAATTGTTTTAACTGATCCTTTGCTTGGTTGATAGATCATATTTTTCGAGTTTGTCATCTTGAAGTTTACTTCCATTTCATCATCGGTCTTATTGATTGCTCCATAAACAACACAGTAAGCACCTTGATCATATCTTCTAAATACACAGATCTCGTCAGTCTGAATAGCACCTGTTGCTCCATTATTCTTATGATAGTTATGCATCATTAGATCCCAAGCTCTTTCATTCAAGTCTGTTTTTAGAGCATCTCCAATTCTAACTCTTAGTTCACTATTGGTGTGGAAAGTAATTGTGAATGGCTTAGACTTAGTCGAATATAGAGATTCATCATAGCCTAGTTTTCCGATAAACTCTGCAATTTCTTCTGGCTCATACTTAGAAAAGTATTGCTTTATCCCAAAGTTTGTAATTCCGTTAGCATTACAGGAGATATTTTCAAACTCTTCTCCTTCAAGATCCTCATCAGTGACATTCTCAAGTTCTTCACATCCAATCAGCCTTCCAAATTGATTGAGCTCGTCTGCTGACAGGGCTCCATTAAGTTGAAGATCCATTCTTCTGAAAACATCGTCAATCGTTGATCTCAAAACAGGATGAAGCCTTATCTTATCTCCGTGCTCAACCTTGAAGTCAACAGGGTCTTTAGGGTCGTTGTTCGGTCTTCCGAGAGTTGCGCCTGATGATCTCGGCACAACAATGTAGTGGCCTGCTCCCAAAGTCACATGGCATTCTTGGTCTCTCGAATCACTACTTCCAGAGTCATGAACGATCGTAAGTGTACCATTCGTGTGTCTTCTCAGAATGAGGATTTGCATATCCACGTATCTTCTCCTGTCAGATCCTAGAATTCTCTCGTCCTCTTGATGGAGCCCAATGTCAATCTCGGCTTCTTCTTCAAGTCTGAAAGAGTAGTAGAACTTTGAGAGCACGAAATCTTCGTCAGTGTCTTGAGCCTCCATTAGCCTCATGAAAATTCCTTTGAGTCTTATTTCATTCCAGTTTTCGACTCTGCATACTGTGATGGAGCAGAAGTTTTTGAAGAAATCTTCGTAAGATATCCAGAAGCTTCCATCCTTGGCGTCGAAGTCTGGTTCGAATGCCTCCATCATTTCTTCTGTCCACTCTTCAGAGTTGTCTGACCAGGCGCCTCCCCATTCAAATTCTCCCCAAGGATTTCTGACGTTTAGGAGTCTGATCCCTTCTCTCTCTTTAGCTGCAATAACAGAGTAAGCATGACCAGGAACGATTCCGTGGTCTTGGTCTGGGCCTCCGCCTTCAGTGAAGTGGTCCACTCCAGGAGTACCTGCACACATGATCCATCCTTTAGAGTCGGCTAGATCCAGCTTTGACCAGAGTTCTTCAGCATACTCTTCAATGGCTCCGTAGTCATGTCTGTCTTGAGGGAATCTATGGTCGCGAGTAGGACAACCTGTAAGATCCGCCATTCCATGAGAGACAAATCCGGCTCTGAGTTGGCAGTAATTCCCATGAATCTTAGCGTAAGCTTTCTCTAGCAAGAGCACCCAGAGTTCGTCTCCAGTAGCTCTACAGAACATTGGGCCACCAGAATAGTAGCAGGGGATGTAGTCGTCCACTGTCACTTTCAGCCATTCTCCATTTTTGCAAATTCTTAGCTGGTATAAACCTTGCTCATTGTACTCCTGAGTGATGAAAAGTCTTTTGATCAAGGCTGGATTTTCAGCGACAGATGCAATTGAGGCAAGGAACCAACAATTTCCCAGTGCCCCTTGATTAATGTCGTTGGGATCAATTCCATCGTCAAACAATTTTGGATCTCTCATAAATTCATGAGGTCTCTTCCAAACTGGCTTTTGCTGAAGAGGATACTCAGGCTCAGTCTCCTTGTCGTAGATACTATCATCATTCGGAGGGAAGGAAGGATCTGTGAAATGGTCAAGTCCGAATTCTCCAAGCTTATCACAGATCTCTTCATGATTCATTGTGTCAAAAGGAATCTTTCTAAGAAGTTCACTCATCTCATCAATCTTTGAATCAAGCTCACTCTTGAATCCTCCAATTAGTTCTTCTTGTTCTTCGACTGGTGCCGGGATTTCTTTCATAGAAATACCTGCAGCAAATTTAAATGGAGGATTTCTTCTTACAACGAACAATGTTTGTGTTTCATTAGGAGGACATTCAGCAGATACAGAGGTTTCTCCTTCATGGTCATCTACTTCAATTCCTGAGCACTTTGAAAGATCGAGAGTCACTTCAAGAGTGGAAAGTGTTTTATTAGTCATGATCCATTCCTCATCATAGCCATCAAGAGCAGTTCTCTCGATGCTAGCTCCATTAGAAAGTTCAATAGTTCTTCCCATGTTAATATCTTTTATAAATGGTTTTATTCAATAGATATATATTAAAAAGGGGTTTTGGGGTTTTGGGGTTTTGGGGTTTTGGGGTTTTGGGGTTTTGGGG